AATATAAAATGTTATATTTATTTGTATCAGTCAGATGAAAAGTCTGGCTTGGAGAGATCTTTAAGGCTCCTGATTAAGTCATAGCAAAACATTCATTGCCCCTGCCAAATTCTTATGACAAGCAGATTTTATACATATGTTATGAATGTCCTCCTCCAAGTCATTAAAAAATTGTTGAACAGGACAAGACCAAATTTCCAGCTCTGCTGTATGACACTAGAAAGTTCCCTCCAGGATTGCAGTGAGCCATAATCAGCACCTTTTGGCTGCCGTAAATCGACCAGGGCTGAATCCACCAAGCTCTACTGGGCATCCAGCCCAGGCCTCTCTAGTTCATCCAAAAGGACATCATGAAAAACACTAATATCTGCTTTCCCAATGTCCTCTTTTTTCCTTCCTTCTGGAATTTCTAGTTTTAAACTCAGCAAGTTTAAAGTTATTGCACAGATAGGTGTTTATTTAACCTTCATAAGGAAAGACATTACTAATGCAGAGATATTTTTAAATGTCTGTAAAGTTCTTTCATTTAAAACTGCCAAAGATCTATACACCAAATAAAGTGAAGTAGCCCAATGCGCACTATTCTTAGCTCAATCTGCCAGAGCACATTTGCATAATATCACAATGTGATGATTTCAGCTGTTGTTAATATCAGGCCCAGGCGGAGCAAGGCCAGGAAACTGTAGAAGTGGCTATAGAGGCTCCAATACCGCTTTCCATTAATGAGAAGCTTAAAGAATGGCCTCTAAAAAAATAACACTTGTCAGAGCCTTAAATGGGTACTGTCTAAGGAGCAGTGATTGATCTTGACTAGCCAGGAAATTAGAAAGAGGAGAGTCATAGTGGAACAATTCATCTTTGTCAATAAAAGGAATCTCTGTTTCTATTGGAAACCATCTCTCTCCTGGTTCACAGGATGCAGTCTTGAAGAACTGTATGTTCTGTAGCAATTTACATGCATTATCTGGGAAAGTCCTCCAATTGCAATAATTACGTGTGCTTATACTTGTCACCTTAAACCACTTTTAATCACATTCATCTACCAACGTGAAGTGCCATAAAAGTGAAATGTTGACCCAGTGCACCCAGGAATTGCTTAGTACTATAACACTGAAAATGGGGGAAAGTTGTCATTTATTTTTCATGTCATTTTTCATTCAATGAGAACTAAAAATTAAATTCTGTTATATTGTCTAGACGGTCATTTTTTCATTAGAATGTAAGTGCCACGGGAGGAGGGATGTTACTTTGCTCAATGACGTGTCCCCAGCACCTGGAAGGGTGCCTGGCACATAGCAGACATTCAGTCATATTCAGGGGGTGAATAAGTGGATTAATGGATAGACAAGGCACCAGATAACATGCTATTGGGAATAGTCATTCATTTATTCAACAAATATGGAGCGCCTACCGTGTCTCAGACACTGAACTAGGTTCAATCTGTATAACTACGGAGAAGAAGATGGCACATACTTCTTAAAGCTTATAGCCCAATGACAAGTGGCCAGAAGTAAAAGACAGATTCTCTGCTCTTGGTAGCAAGCTATTTTAAAATCTAGTTGAGGAGGCAAGACATAAACAAAAGAAAGTTAAAGAATGAGACTCTAATATATATACTACAAAGGCTATCTTCCCTTTTTTATGTATGGTTCTAAGGCTTACAGACTCCATCCACAATTAAGTTCATGTCCAGTTTTTTGGTTGTTTTATGAGGGCCTCACTCGATTTTATTTTCATTTATCATATTTTCTTTCCTGCATACTATAAACCCTCAACAAAACAGGAAACAAAATAAAGTGTGATACAGCGTGTTTACTTTAAAACATCCCAGCCTTTCTGCCTACACCACCAAAAGCAATCATACTTCAAAGTCTGTTGGCTGTATCATCTCAGCACTTTTAATTTAGATGTAGTTACATTTGCATAACAGTTTAGCTGTGAATTTGGCAGGAAATTTCTGAAGAGTTATTTTGGTTCTACAGAGAGCGTGCCCAATGTCTAATAGGCAGATCTCCTGTGCAGTATTGCATTTTTTATCTTCACAAAAAAAGGACCCTGGAGGCTCATACCTTGGCAAAAGCTTTTTTGCTAACAAATAATACGATTAGCAGGCTTGCTTTTCCTGAGAGTGATAATGTGGTTAAAGCCTGTTGAATTTTTGAAACCATAGTAACAATACAGGAGAAACTCAATGAAAATGATATTGTAAAATTTTGTATGGTTTACTTTTCTGATCATAAAAAATGCATATTCATAATTCTACATTTGGAAGATACAGAAAAATACAGAGAGGGTAAAAATCACTCAAGCCAAACACTTTAATATATTGGAGTAAGTTGTTCTAGTTCTCTGTATGTGTGTGTATGTGTGTGTGTAACAAACTCAGCAGTATATGCCACAGCCAAAGACAGGAAATAGGTGTTGTCTCACATGCCCTTCTGACTGATTATTGGAGACGCCTGGTAGACTAAAGGGGATTCTAAGACAAGGATACTTTCTAAGAATATGCAATGGAGAAAATACAGCCTTTTCGGCAAGTGGTGTTGGGAGAGCTGGACAGTTGCATGTAAATTGGTGAAGTTAGAAAGCTCCCTCACACTATACACAAAAATAAGTTCAAAATGGCTTAAAGACTTCAACATAAGACGGGACACCATAAAACCCCTAGAAGACAACAAGGGCAAAACATCCTCTGATATAAATCGTAGCAATGTTTTCCTAGGGCAGTCTACCGAGGCGATAGAAATAATAAAAGCAAAAATAAACAAATGCTATCTAATTTGACTTATAAGCTTTTGCACAGCAAAGGAAACTATAAACAAAATTAAAAGACAACCTACAGAATGGGAGAAAATATTTGCAAACAATGCAACTGACAAGGGTTTAATTTCCAGAATACACAAGCAGTACATCCAACTCAATAACAAACAAACAACCCAATCCAAAAATGGGCAGAAGATCTAAACAAACATTTCTCCAGTGAAGACATATAAATGGTCAATAGACAAGTGAAAAAATGCTCAATATCACTAATAATCAGAGAAATGCAAAGTAAAACTACAGTGAGGTGTCACTTCACACCAGTCAGAATGGCCATCATTAAAAAGTCCACAAACCATAAAAGCTGGAGAGGCTGTGGAGACAAGGGAACCCTCCTACACTGCTGGTGGGAATGCAGTTTGCTGCAGCCATTGTGACAAACAGTATGGAGATTCCTTAAAAAACTAAAAATAGACTTACTATATGATCCAGCAATCCCACTCTTGGGCATATATCTGGAGGAAACTCTATTTCAAAAAGACACATGCACACCTCAATGTTCATAGCAGCACTATTTACAGTAGCCAAGACATGGAGGCAACCTAAATATCCACTGACAAATGACTAGATAAAGAAGTTGTGGTATATATATATATATACACTGCATATTTCACATATATAATGGAATACTACTCAGTCATAAAAAAGAATAAAATAATGCCATTTGCAGCGACATGGATGGACCTGGAGATCATCATTCTATGTGAAATAAGCCAGAAAGAGAAAGAAAAATACCATATGATATCACTTATATGTGGAATCTTAAAAAAAGACACAAAAGAACTTATTTACAAAACAGAAATGGACCCACAGACATAGAAAACTAATTTATGGTTGCCAAATGGGAAAAGAGGGGAGGGATAAATTAGGAGTCTGGGATTAACAGATACACACTATTGTGTATAATATAGATAAACAACAAGGTCCTACTATATAGCACAGGGAACTATATTCAATATCTTATAATAGCTTATGATGAAAAAGAATATGAAAATGAACATATATGTATGTATAGCTGGACCACTATGCTATACACCAGAAACTAATACAGCATTGTAAATTGACTATACTTCAATTAAAAATGGCTGTCTTCTTTCTTTCATTCTTTCATCCTTTTTTTAAAGAAATTTTAATTACAGAAAATTTCAAACATAAAACTAAATAAGCAAAGTAATATCATGAAAACCCATGTACCCATCACCCAACTTTCACAAGTATCAACATTCTGCCATTCTTGTTTCATCTATGTCTCCCGCCCAATTCCCAAGCTACTTGATTGTTATATTTGTACATTTGTTTCATAGGTAAAAATGGCATATGTTAAAATGCACATATTTCAACTGCACAATTTTAAAAACTGGATACATCCGTGTAATCTGTACCTATATCCAGAGAGTTCCCTTCACAGTCATTCCTGCCCCTACTCTACCTTGAAGGCAACCAGAATTCTGACTTGCCTAGAATTTTGTATACATATACAAATACATGTACACGTACATATACAATATGCACTGTTTTGTGTCTGGCTTATTTACTCAGCATAGTATCTGTGACATCCATCCATGTGATTGTGTGTTTCCATAGTTCGTTTTGTTTATTGCTGAATGTATGAATATACCACAGTTTGTTTATCCATTTTTTGCTGTTGATGAACACCTGAGTTATTTCCAGTTTGGGTTATTATGAATAAAAGTGATGTAAACATTCTGGTGCACATTGTGTATGTGTGTGTGTGTATGTATAATTTTATTTTTCTGGAATAAATACTCAGATGAAAAGTGGCTGGGTCATAGAGTAGGTGTATGTTAGTTTCGTAAGAAATTGTTGGACTTTTTTTCCAAAGTGGTTGTAACTTTCTTCCACTTCAACAATGTATGAGTATTCTACTTGCTGTACATTCTCACCCACATGAAGTATTATCAGCCATTCTGGTGGGTATGTTGGTGTCATGTTCTAGTCCAGTCATTAAGATGACCTAACACACATTTGTAAGCTGAAGACTGATCAGGGCTCAGTGGGCACCAATGACATCCCAATGTCTATGGTGTCACAAAGTCTACTCCCTGACCAATGAGCAGCTGGAGTATAGGGACAGAGTTGGTGGGAATGAGCACCGGTGACGTGTCTTGAAAGGCTCAGGCCAGCTGAACAATCGAGCTAGGTCAATAGAGCAAAACATCATGTCTGGAAATAGAAGCTGTCAGAGCTCCTGTTGGCTAAGGAAGCAAACATTCTCCTGCTCCACAAAAAACAAGCCACTGTTCCCTAAGAGCCATGCGGACCACCTCCTGCAGGAAAACCACTTTGCCCAGCAGCTGAACTTGTCCACCCAGGTTTTCCTCTCTGCCATTCTCAAATATGTCACCTCCAACGTTCTAGAGGTGGTGGGCAACAAGAGCCACAGCAACTGCAGGATTCAGAAGGCAGCGGACAACGACCTGCAGCTCAGCCACCTCTTTGAAGAGGACACCAATTCTCAGGCTCGTGAAACATTCTAGTGCAGAAAGGACTGCTCGTGCCTGGGTCCCGGAGCCTGGAAGGAGTCCGCACCACCTCGTGCAGCACCCAAGCCTCTCAGAGCAGAAGAAGCCCTGTGCTGCCAACACCTGCACATGTTATTAAAGAATTTAAGTCTGTGGGCATGCTCTGGCTCCTCTCAGTCGTAATCCTATTGAGTTGAAGTTATCTGTGGGGCATCCAAGAGGATTCCACAGAGAGTTGCAGGGATATAGAATGTGGTCAGTGGGGGTGCTTGAATCAGTGATTTCTGAGGAGCGGTTTCTAGTGGTAACAGTGTGGAGAGTGGTCCCGGGGGGAGTACCTGGTTGGGGTCGGGGTGGGGAGAGGGGAAGAAGACATCCTTATTGGCTCTGAGGAAGTAAGGGCTTGAGACCAGAAAGTTGGCTGGGGGCCTCTTAGGCATGTTGAATTCCCAGAATGATGGTGGTAGTTGAGGTGGAGCTGGAAACAGTGACTGAGGTACAGAAAGCTTCATTCATAATAAAGGAGGTCTAAAGGTCAGAAAGTGATAGTCATGGGGGGGTGGAGCGGGCTGCATAGCAGTTGGCATGAACTTAATGGGGCAGAGGCTTTTACAGGAAGATTGAGGAGTGATGGAGGAGATATTAAACAAGTATACACAAGACATCATGGCCATGTTGATTTTAATTATTATTTATATCCTGCCTCACTCCAAAAAGGGATTTGAGGCAAAGATTATCAGCTGGATAGTGCTAATTCTTCCTGTAGAATATATCCTTCTGGCCTATCTTGTGAACACATAAATAGAAATATTACATAAAAGTCACTCTCTGGCCTTAAGGCATGCAATTCAAGCAGTTCTTAATTATTAAATATTAATGAATGGATTTATTGGTCAATGTATTTCATTGTAAATACAATTACCAATCTCATTCTCAGATGAAACACCAGTGAATCTAATGATCATATATCTGATAGAGCACCACAGACTTATAAGCAGTTGAATCAGTGTTTTAAAAGGTATAAGTATATTCTATTTCAAAAGTGTAAGTAAATTCTGTTCCAAGTGATGAACTCAAAAGAAAATGCAATTCTTATAAACACTTTCATGCACTGTATTAAGTGAAAAATAGGTGTCACATTGTATGTTGTAGAAATCTGGGATTAATTTTTATGAACAGTGACTATTCACCCTCCCCTCTGAGTGTCAACATGTGAGGTTTTCACTTGTTCATTGGATGCTCAAAGGCCACCCTCTGCTGCCTTTCAGCCTTTTCATAAGAGGCCGCTCAGATAGCTTGAGCAACCGAATTAGATAGACTGGATTCAAGATAGCAGTTCACCATTTACTGGCTGTGGGATCTTGGACACTCATTTATTCCCCCTGAACACCAGTTTCCTCATCTGTAAAATGGGAAAGTAAGAGTCTCTCCATCTTTGGACCTTCACAAGGATTAAGTCAATTTTTGCCTGTAAACTTCAGTTTAGCACAGTGCCTAGCACAGACTACTTGTACCGAGCAGTTGCGTACTACTTCTTCCATGTACACCAGATGTTTAAGCGTGCTTCCCTAAGGTGCAGCTGGGTCTGGCTCTCATATGAGGGCTGTATGCTTGGGCCACCGGCTGGAAGAACCAAACCCTGCTAAACCTCGTGGAGAGACAAAAGAGTGCAATGAAGAGAAGTCAGAGTTAGAACAGACAACTAGACACTCCACATGCAGGTTTCCTCTTGGCTCCCCACTGCCTAGTAAGCTGCTCTCTCTCTCCTTTCCACCATTTGTCAAAGCAGAAGGACCCAGCTCGGCCTTTGCCTGCTACACAGCAATACTCTGAGAATAAAAGTAACAGTATTGGAATTGGGTTTACAACGCTTTGGAATATGTGCTTGTTATAGATCCAAGAAATCTTCATGCCACATAATATTCATTAAACATCATACTTACAGATCACTCATTGTCCAAATGATCACCCTACACAATTGTAATCTGTTATGGAGAGCCATGAGGCCCTCCTAGCATTAACCAAGCTCAACTCTTAACTCTGCTCTTCATTACAATTGACAAGCAGGCCTGTCCCCAGTAACTGCCAGGGGAGGTTCACCCTCAGCATTGCTCACCACCCTATTCCCAAATGAAGTATCTGTTTGTCCAGGGCATTGGTTTCTCATATTACACTGCCCTTCAGCCTTCGGCCAATGCCTCTGTGGTGGACAAAGCCAGGGAATTAATCATTATACTACGATCATAGCATGTTGGCTAAATAGCCAGTTCTTAAAAGCTGTTCTTCATGACCTATCACTGTTGCTTGCAGCAAACATAATCTCCTGAACACTTCACTGAACAGCACAACAAAGGATTATTAATTGTATCAAGAAGCCGTAGCAGGTGGGGGAACCAAGGCACGTTGATGACCTGTGGCCAGGTCATCGGACCTTACAGTCCGAGAAGTGGCCAAAAAGTCAAAATGGTCAGTTATGACTCTTGTAAGGAGGCAGGCTTCTGAGGTCTTTCGGACACTCCTTTTGACTTCTGCAGTGAAGTTTGGAAGCTAAGCATTTAGGAGCCCGTGTTGGCAAGCCCTCTGGGAAGTCATACAGGTGTGGGAGAATCAGGCAGAGTAATACTACCATGTCTTTAAAGAATTACGCTTCAGCTATGTTTGTGGCTTTTACAGGAAACATGAGGACTATGATAAGCATAGCATCTGGCCTATAGCTTACCTATTCATTTCCCTTATTGGTATCTTGTGACATTTCTCATTTTTAAGGAATATAATTTTTCAATACTTAATCCTATTTGCTGTTAATATGGTGGATTACATGGAATATTTTTACCTTATATTGCTAGGATAAGTCTATTCACTCATAATGTATTTTCTATTTTATATATTGCTAGTTACAATGGCTAATATGTGATATAATATGTTTGGATTTGTGCTTCTCTTGTTGGAATGCCTTTGACAAATTTTGGTATCATGGTTATTCTATTTCCTGAGAGACCTTGCATAAAATTGTTATTCTTTCTTCTTGAAATGTTTGATAGAATTCCCCAGTGAAATAATCTGAGCCTGGAGTTTTGTTTGCATAGATGTTTTTAATAATAATTTCAATTACCTTAATGGATACAAGGCTACTCAGATTCTCTATTTCATATCGTATCACTTTTGACTGTTTTGTTTTCAGGTGTATTTTATCTTATTTGTCTAATGCTTTTGGCATAATATTTCCCTTTTGACGTCTGTAGAATCTATAGGGATATCTGCTTCTTTGTTCTGAATACTGGTTATTTGGGGTTTTTTTTTCTCTCTCTCTCTTTTTTTTCTTAGTCAGTCCTGCTAGGGTTTCATCAATTTTATTAACCTTTTCAAAAATCAACATTTGACTTAGTACACTTTTTATGTTGTTTTTATATTTTTCATCTCATTGATGTCTGCTCTTTTTAATTTCCTTTTGTTCTACTAACTTTCGATTCAATTGGGTATTATTTTTCTAGAATCATAAGATAGAAACTTAATTATTTTTACCCATTCTTTTTCTGTAGAAAAGCATTTATGGTTATAAATTTCCTTCCAAGCATGCTTTAGCTGCCAATCACAAAGTTTACTATTTTGTGTTTTCATTTTTTTTCCATTTGAAATATTGTCTATCTTCCCTTCTGATTTCTTATTTGTTCCATGAGTCATTTAGAAATATGTTGTTTTAGTCCCAAATAATTAGGGATTTTCTAGATTTATAATTGTAATTGATATCTAATATAATTTCATCATAATCAGAACAATGCTCTGTAGGATTTCAAACTTTTGAAATTTATTGAAACTTGATTTATGCCCCTGGATATGGTCTGCCTTGGTGTATATTCCATAGGTATATAGAAAGGATGTATTTTCTGCAGTTGTTTGGTGTTGTATTTTGTAAATGCCAGTTAGGTTAAGGTGGCTGATAGTGTTCTACAAATCTTCTCTATGCTTACTTATTTTTGGTCCAGTTCTATCAGTTATTGAGATAGGGTGTTTATCTCTGATTATGTTTGTGGGTTTTATCTTTTTCTCTCTTTAATATAGTCAATTTTGTTTCATAGACTCTTTTTTTTCTTCTTATTGAGGTTTTTATTTTTCACTCATTCAGATGCTTTAGTTTTTCTACTTCTTTCTTTTTTTTTACTGAAGTACAGTCAGTTACAACGTGTCAAATTCTGGTGTACAACATTCATTGACTTTTTTGGCTGTGTTTTAGGCACATTCAAAGTTAGAATTCTTATGTTCTCCTATGTATTGTTTATTACCATTAAGAAATGCCTCTCCTAAAAAAAGAAATGCCTCTCCTTCTCTCTAGTAAAATTATTTGTCTTTAATTGTATTTTGTATAGTCACTCCAAATTTCTTATAATATTATTTATATTTATTTTCCATCTTTTAGCTTTCAACCTGTTTGTGAGTGTTCTTTTAAAGCTCATCTTTTGGACATACAAATGGCCAATAGGCATATGAAAAAAATGCTCAATATCACTAATTATCAGAGAAATGCAAAGCAAAACTACAATGAACCTCACACCAGTCAGAATGACCATCAGTAAAAAGTCCACAAACAATGAATGCTGGAGAGGCTGTGGAGAAAAGGGAACCCTCCTACACTGTTGGTGGGAATTTAGGTTGGTGCAGCCATTATGGAAAACAGTATGGAGATTTCTCAAAAGACTAAAAATAGCTTTACCCTATGATCTAGCAATCCTACTCCTGGGCATATATCCAGAGGAAACTCTAATTCAAAAAGATACATGCACCCCAATGTTCATAACAGCATTATTTATGATAGTGAAAACATGGAAACAACCTAAATGTCAATCAATAGATGACTGGCTAAAGTTTTGATATATGTATGTGTATACATATATATATACACACACACACATACATACATACATACACTACTCAGCCATAAGAAAGAGTAAAATAATGCCATTTACAGCAACATAGATGGATCCTGAGAGTGTCATACTAAGTGAAGTAAACCAGAAAAA